AACCCCAGCTCCCTCAGCCTGTCCCCATAGCAGAGGTGCTCCAAGCCCCTGATCGTCCGCGTGGCCCTCCTCTGGTCCAGCTTCTCATCCACCAGCACCCCCAAGTCCTTTTCCTCAGGGCTGCTTTCAAATACCTCACCCCCAAGTCCCTTTCCTCAGGGCTGCTTTCCAATACCTCACCCCCTAGTTTGTATTGGTGGCGAGGATTGTTCCGGCCCAGGTGCAGAACCTTGCATTTGCTCTTGTTGAACCTCATGAGGTTCACCTGGGCCCACCTCTCCAGCCTGTCCAGGTCCTTTTGGATGACATCCCATCCCTCTGGTGTATCAACACCACCACACAGCTTGGTGTCGTCCGCAAACTTGCTGATGGTGCCTTTAATCCCCCTGTCTATATATATAAAAATGTTAAACAGAGTCCTGTGCCAGCTCTCACTGGTCCCACTGAAACACGCTGGGGACAAAGCCACATATTTCATAAACAAAGTAAAAACAAAGCATGTCCTTCTCCATATGAAGTTCTGCAAGGCTATGAGCTGTAGTTCCAGTCAGTCAAATCTTTATAAATAAAGCAAAGCAAAGACATACACTTCAGGGCTGCATATATAAAGCATTACAGAATCCCAGAATCACAGAATCTTCTAGGTTGGAAGGGACCTTAAAGATCATCTTGTCCAACCGTCAACCTAATTTTGACAAAAATAAACACCCACACAACAAACAAACATTAGTAGAGTAACGAGCAAGGGACCAAGCCAACTTTGGTACTACACTTACTAGAAGACGGATCCACAACTGGTGCTAATTGAACCCTCTGCCCAGCAGAGCCGACTTCCTTCTTCAGAAACGAAGGGATAAAACCATTAGCGAGATAGCTTGATCCCACGGGCCCTGAAAGAAACAGCAAGGAATGCTTGAGCTCAACGCACTGGGATCTCCCAGACCATCACCTGGTGATGATAAAGGTGTGCATTGATGGGTCATATTCAAGATCAAGCCTGATCATGGACTGGTGAACGCAAGAACTTCACTGAAGACACTAGAAATCCACAGATCCTACAGATGTCTGCATTCAGGGGACTGTCAGCATGACTGCGTTAACGATGAATGGAAAACAGGCACAAACCGCACTCCTACAAGGGCTATTTCTGCTCTTCCGGGACACCTCAGCTTTTTCAAGGTTTCCTCAAAGCTTCCACAATTTAGCATTTCATTTGCAGTTATTTTGACTTTCAGCAACTAGGTCCTATGAGTATATTCTTGATGTCTATGCAGCGAATCTGGGACTCCGGTGCTACACAAAGCTCTTAACTCAAGCCAGTAAGAGCACACCTTAATGCACTGGGACAGATTCACCTTCCAAAATTGGAAAGTCAGCTACAAAACCTGTCCCAGGATGAGCAGGAACAGATCTGAGTGACCTGTAGGGTAAGCTGTAGAAATTGGATCAAAAATAGTTGTAAATAAACCAGCGTTGAGTCGTCGCGCAGCCGGGCAGTGCCCAAGGGAGCATGCCCAGAGCAGATCCATGGCACGTGTGCCATCAGGGACTAGAGCAGCAGAGCAGTGGCAACACATATTGGGGGAAACGATGGCAATAAGGACAAAAGGGGGAAATCTAACGATATCTTACACAGCTACAAAAGAAGCAAAAACTTGTAAAGAGCCAGGAGAGAGACATGTGCTAGGTTCTCATGAACTTCAGCCATTTACAACATCCTCCCATCTTGAATAGTTAAAGAACAACTTTCTCATTAAATTGCATCCAAAATGTTAAGATATTTTTATTTTTTTTTTTTTTAAACTAGAGTTTCTGAAGGCCCAAAATGCTTATTTGGGCCAAGATTCAATAGAAATTTTCTCAAACACTTTCATAACATATACAAAACAAATACTGTGCTGCAGAACTGCAATGTTACATGAAAACCTGAAGCCAAGAAAGATTCAGAGGGAATACATAGATAAAAGCTAGAAATGTCAACATGTTTAAGTATATCTGGTAAAAATCTAATTGTAAAACGCTACAAATGAATTACTGCAAATCAAATAACAGGGATTAAATACCTGAAATACCAAATGCCCCAAAAACCTGAAGAAGAAAAAAATTGAAGAGTTTTGCTTTTGTCTGACATTTTCAAAGCTGTAGTTATTCTATTATTTCAAACAGCATCAATTAAAAACACGATGATAGATGATACAGTTTATTTGCTTCATTCCCGTAACAAGAGAAGCATGTATGGATAGTTCATTTTAGACCAGCTTCCTCCTCTATGACCATCTACGCACCAGCTGGGCTAAAATAATTTGGAAACCTGAAAATACAACTTACAAAAACTTCTGAGGGAAATTGAAGGCGAGATGAAGCATTTCAGGTTGAACAGACCTAAGATGTCCAACCTTCTATGCATGTGGTACTTCAAACCAGACTTTTGGGGATTCGTTAGAAGAAATTACTGTGTTTCAGTTTAAGGTAGTCTCTAAGTTCAAGGGACAGTGCTCAGAACTGATTTCAACAGAAAGAACAGACATAGTAGCACACATCTTTGAAGCTGACAATGTATTTGAAGTCATTTGGATGACCCCAAAATACAGCTGTCTGAAATTGCGGAGACATCACCTGTGATCTTTTCTCAGAGCGTTAAGCACAGTTTCTTACCTGAATTCATCCTGTTAATACTTCCTCCCAAACCAGAAGCTTTCCCAGGCAAACCAGAAGGGGGCCAGGGATTAGATGGAACAGATTCTTTGTTTGAAGTGGAGACTGTGCTATTCCTTGTGCTTATTCCTATTGCAAAAAATGACCACAGTGACATCTGTTACAGAGGCTGGTGTTCATTATGTTTGATACACAACCTTAGAGCAGCTGCCCAGTTCAGTGAACTCAACCAAAACCTTTTCACTCTAACACGCCCCTGGGTTCCCTCCCATCCTCTCATATGGGAATGCTGACAAACCTTTTCACTCTAACATGCCCCTGGGTTCCCTCCCATCCCCTCATATGGGAATGCTATGACTGGCCACAGGCAAAGACAACAGTGTAAATAGTTCCACTGGCATCAATGGCTGCTTACGTCAAAGGATCCTTACATCAAGGCCACAAATACTGTCAAGTCACAGAAGCCAAGTTCACTATGTAAATGAAATTTATGCTTTGTGTTAAACACAGCATTTTACTTTAAGAGTGACAAGATAACCTGAGAGTAAATAATGGCACATCACATTTCTCACAGCACTGTGCTCCTTTTTAGCGCATCTGTTGAAACCACAGATTGTGCAAACAGTTTGCAGCAGAGGTCATATATCACATCTTATTTGTATTTAATACACATCCTATATTTAAGCAGGGTATCTAACATGCAAAGATGGGCTTGTAATTTATAGTAAAGCAAAAGTGCGTTTGAGATCAATGTGTTTTACAGCCTCCTGTAGTAACACAACTTTTAGCTACGAAAACTCTCCTTAAGTGATCCAGTTTGAAAGTCATTGAAATTCAATGTTTCAGTAAAAAAGACTGAGTCTACCATCATGACACCCCCTAGTTTACATAATTAATTTTGAAGTACTACTACTACAAGTTAATGAACAGCTAACACTGCCTTTATAAACAGAAATAAGGAAAGAGGGTAGGTTTATATTCAGCTGAACAGCTAACACTGCCTTTATAAACAGAAGTGAGGAAAGAGGGTATGTTTATATTCAGCTCAGTTTATATTCATTTTAAATACAGACAGGTATGCTGTCCACCTCCTGCACCTTCTCCTGCCCCACTGCTGGTCTCAGCACAGCAGAGGTCAACATGAAGACAGGCATGTGGTTCCTCTATAGACACAGAGATTTGCGGTCTATTTAACCCCAAGCTAAAGCAAAACATATTCCCACTATTACTTAGCTTCTGTTGCTCATGGTATTATATGCTCATGAGGTAAACTTAAGGCACTTTCTTTTCCAGTCTAGAAGACCAGTCTGGTCCTTCTTAGGGACACAGGGAATAGCTTGCCACATTAACAGGAATTTTCTAACACGCTTCAAAGCGTAGGGGTACCCAGCAGGAAGAAGAAGTACCAGCTATCCTGTCCCCTTCTTGTAAGCAGGATTTATCTAGTTGCTGGACTGCTAGAATGTCATTTGTATCATGAACACCTACATTAGCAAAGCTCTTGCTCTCTCCATTTTCTTTAAGCAGTAGCCCCCATTCACAAGCTCAAGGGATAAAGCCTCATGTAGCAATGATTACTTCATACTGCTGTTGGAATTACAGGATGAAAAATAAATAAGTATTTGTTACTAACCAGGCAGATACCTAGAATGTCTCAAGTAGTGCTGCTTTGCTGCAGAAACTCGCAACGTGGGAGTGTCCTGCTGTGGAAAGGTTGCGTGGGAAGGTGCACTGCTGCCAGAGCCTACAGCATCTGAAGGCTTCAGGTCCAAAATGCTTTCAAATCTGTAACGCAAAAATTGCTACACTTAGTTCAATTTTTATAGCATACGTTTATCCACAGTTGGCCTTCATCGTTTCCTCATGCTGTGTTTGCTACAGCATAAACACACAGACAACAGGGAATATTTTCAGCCTGAAGCCATACATGTGCCCCTGAAAATCAGGTTTGCGCTTCTATTTCCCTTATATATCGCCCTTAAAATTTTTATAAATCACTCAAGTAAGTTTTTCCTCTTCTGTGTATGATCCATGAAACTGCAGCTTAGAGTCATCCCAAACAGCTTACATGCATGGAATATGTAAAAATGGTTCATATGTGAAATAGAAAATAAGATTTTCAAAGATTAACTTGGGAAGACTTAAGCTACACATCATTGGGGAAAAACAAACAAGGAATTGTACAGAAAGGTGCACTGTCCATCAGAAAAGGTGTTGCAATCCAAAGGTCAGAGTTCAACAAGCAGCCAAGGCAAAGCAGGAGAGAGACAAGCTGCGTGTCCTTTACTGGCCTGGACAGAATCATAGAATTGTCTGGGTTGGAAGAGACCTTTAAGATCATCTAGTCCAACCATCAACCTAACTCTGATAAAAACCATCTCTAAACCATGTCTCTAAGCACTATGTCAAGCCGTCCTTTAAATACCTCCAGGGATGGTGCCTCAACTACTTCCCTGGGCAGCCCATTCCAATGCTTAATAACCCTTTCAGCGTAAAAATTTTCTTAATATCCAATCTGAACGTCCCCTGGCGCAACTTGAGGCCATGTATGTTTCTGGATCCATAGAAACCATAAAGACCAATGTTATATATATAAAAAAAAAAAAAAAAAAAAAAGAGGCAAAGTCTAAGGAAATTAGACCAAATCAACATAAAGAAACCAACTTACCTACAAAGAGTTTCATCACTCTGTCTCTTCTTGTTTTTCAAGTCCATCGTTGTGATAGAAGAGCTGAAATCGAGGTCTTCCAAGTCATCCCAGTCTTCAGAACTCTTCACTGTTCTAGCAAGATGTCCCCACCTCCGCCTAGGTTTTGGTTTAAGTTCACCATTTATATTCTCAGTCCCAGCAGCAGTTTTCTGATATAAAGATTGAAAAGAAACAAACGCACATACACTTACACCATGAACCAGGTGACAGGAACAAAGAGGACTTTTTTTTCCTGTCTCAAAGAGTAATAACAGAATCCTTATCTTTTGTTAAACATGCTAAGAGCACAATGTGGAGCCTGCAGATGTTATTATGTATATTCTGTATTTCACCCCGTAATAAAGTATCTTGGACTGACAGAAGAATAAATTTCTTGGCTCTCAATTCCAATTCTATTTATATTTCATTATATACCTCCAAAACAACTAGCTCACGCTCAATTTTTATTTCTTGACCCACCTTAAGAGTACAAAACTGCAGCCACATTCATGTTTCCATAAGCCTGTGCCTAGACATTACAAAATGTCTTTTTCTTGTGGGATAGCACAGGTACAGAATTACTTCTCTTCAGCCATTTAAGCTCATCAGTACATTTCAATGTTGCCCAACCCTGGACATGGCCAGTACTGACCCTACTTAAGACAGATCTCTCTGCAGCAGCAGCATCATCCACACAGTCAGCTCTCATCATCTATCTTATGAATCCAATCTCCACATATAATCAACAGAAATGGTAGGTTCTAGCACTGAAAGAAGAATCTGTTGTTTCCCATGGTATAGAAACCCAAAGGGACTATTACTCTCAGTGACTTAAATTGGATGCTTTAAATGAAGGAGGGCAATAGCCCCCGTCCCCCTCATTTCAGTATTATTTAGCTTAATACTTTTTCTCTCTGGCTTCGGTCCCATTAATATTCTCACCACTGCACATCCTTTTTACTTGCACGCAATCACAGCGTCAAAATCCTTTAAGTGGTGCTTTACAACAAAGGGAGGCACAAAATGGCTTTGAAATGAGAAATCAACTTGCTTGTTTTATAGCAATTTGACTTAGATTTCAACAGAGTAACTTCCAGTTTCTAGCAGAAAGTTATAACTAGTCTTTATTCCTATTTCCTGTCCTTTTAGTAAAGTATAAGAACCTTATGAAAGAGAACAAGAAAAGGAAACACAATTAGGGAAAAATCAGGCAGTATATCAGGAGGTGTATCGTAGGCTAGATGGACCTTTACCTGCTGAGGAACCTTATTGTGAATTGCAGGCAGAAGAACCTGGTTAGACTTGTCCTCCTGTAAGTAGTGACTGTGCTCAGTCCCAGAGTTCTCTGTCTTGAATGGGTAAACCAAATGCTGAGAAGACTGGTTTTGTTGAAAAGGCCTTGACGAAATGCGGGCATGAGGTTTCGGAGGGGGTTGTGCTGGAGGGACAGGCTTGATATGCAGAGATGATTTATTCTGCAGTTCCTTTTGCTTCACCAGTTCCTGAACACCCAGGACATGCCCAACCTGGAAGTACGGATATCGAAGTGCCTAAAACATAATGGAGATGTTAGGATACAACTTGGGAAATCAAAGTTTTTAGCTTACTCTAGCCCTATGTGACAGTAAAAATTTGATTTCCTTTCTTCTGGGGTGGGAATCAGCAGATGTAATTATTCACACCGAAGTCACATACTTGATCATTGAGCACACACCCCCCCGCAGTCCAGTTGAAGTCGATGTTGCACAAAAGAGACTGATTACTCCCTTTTAATTACCCCCCTTTGTCTTGCAAATTGTTCTTGGCTTCTGCTCTCCTCCCTTCCAAGAACCGCTCGCCTGAGTAACTGCTAAATGACTGTCTATATAAGGTGTCTTGCAGTGAAAAGAAGTGTCATAAGCAGAGGCGCTTCTGCTCTCCTCCCTTCCAAGAACCGCTCGCCTGAGTAACTGCTAAATGACTGTCTATAAAAGGTGTTTTGCAGTGAAAAAGAAGTGTCATAAGCAGAGGCAAGAGAAAGAAAACAAAACCAAACCAAACCTGACTAGCTGTTGGCCGTTTTTTGGGGTCCCACTGCAGCATGTCTCTCATGAGCTGCACTGCTTCACTGCTGGCGTTAGGTATGAGGGTTTTTAGGTTGTTAGGTACACACTGAGGCCAGCGGAAATTCATGGAGGCTGAAAGCTGGTAGCCTTCAGGCCAGTCGTTCTGGAAGAATGAGATTTCCAATCACAAAGAAAGTTCAGCTGTAAAACATCACAGTGCCCAAGGACACTAACGTATGTTCTCCTGTCAGCAATAGGCTGCCCCCAGCTTGCTCTAGTCTGTTTTCAAAATTTCGCTACCGTTTTCACTTCAAACCTGTGCTGAGAGGTAAGTCTTGCTTTACATCTGGCCAAGTCAAAGGCACAAACTGAATCAGGTTGCAGACTTGCCATGATTCCAAATTCTAGCTTCTTAAACCATAGGTTTACATACAATATGCAAGAGAAAATGAAATTTCCACCTAATGAAATCTCAGCCAAATTACCTTGTTTGCTGTTGATGGGTCTATTTCTCCTCCTCTAAATGTCAGGTTTTATAACATAATTACATAATGCTTATGCACAGAAAATCAGTTTTCATTTAGTTTAGTATATCTGAGATCAATGCCATACAACAGCAGTTAAGTGTGAAAACCAATGACTTTTATGCTGACTGCTATTGTGCCATTCTGTATTGCAGAGCACCTCCAGCATTACTGCAGTGTGGAATGTCACTGTAGCTACCTTCTTTGGCGTCCCCAGGACTTGGCAAATTTTGAATATAGTATCAATTTCACTGGCGCCTGGAAAGAGAGGCCTCAGTGTGTAAACTTCTGCCATTATACAACCAACAGCCCAAATATCTATTGGAGAACTGTAGCTGGTGGACCTCAGAAGGACTTCAGGAGCCCTGTACCTGTAAGAGAAGAAAAAAATAATAATAATTAAAAACATCCCATCAATCAACACACCTCAAACAGACATACATGAAACCATTCAGCTCTTCCTTCTTTGCTGTTAAGAACAAACATTCCTCAAAAAAGTTCCTATCCCTATAGGACTTCACTTTAATTTCTAGAATGAAGAATTAAAACCTACATAAGATTTTGTAGGCCCTCTAACACCTTTCTGACATGCACCAGTCCCAGCACATCCCACTTGTCTTATCAGGTCTCCTCTTTGTTCCCCATGCTGCTGCCATCTGTAAACTGTCTTGCACTAACTGAAACTTTTATTTAAGCTTGGCATAATTTGAAAAGTTTCATAGAGAAGAGGCATCAAAAGTCATATTACTTTCAGCACAAATTTCATACTTTACTTCTTTATTTCTGGATTTTAAGTTTCACACAAGGTAGGCAAACACCAGCACTCACCATCTTGTGGAGACATAGTCGGTGTAAGGAGGTCTAGACCTGATTTCTCGCGCTAAGCCAAAGTCTGCTATTTTCACAAGTTCTGGTCCCATGCAAAGGAGGTTTTCGGGTTTCAAGTCTCTGTGAAAGAACCCTAAAATTCAAATGAAATATTAATGTGCGTTGCAATGCCGCCCCAAGCTGTAACCTTTATTTTTCACCTGGCTTGTTGTGCTTTAGTTCTTACTGCTGAAGCTTGACTAGCACAACACAAGAGTTCAAAGCTTCACGTGATCAACAGAGCTACTCAGTGTACTGGTTGTTCAGTCAGACTGTGCAGAACAGCATACACAAGCTGACTGTCTTCTAACAATTCAGAGCATTCAGTCAGATAGTTCCTTTTCAAGTGATACTAATTCTAATTGTGTTGAAAACAGTGCAATAGAGACATCAGGAAATTACTTCAAAAGTTCTTTTAAACAGAATACAGTTCAAAGCTTCACGTGATCAACAGAGCTAGTCAGTGTACAGTCAGTCAGACTGTGCAGAACAGCATACACAAGCTGACTGTCTTCTAACAATTCAGAGCATTCAGTCAGATAGCTCCTTTTCAAGTGATACTAATTCTAATTGTGTTGAAAACAGTGCAATAGAGACATCAGGAAATTACTTCAAAAGTTCTTTTAAACAGAATACAAATTAAAACATGAGGTAGTTTTTTTTTTCTTCACTTTGAAACTCCTTTTTAAATCTGAGAAATTAATAATCTGCAAGCACTCAATTACTGATCACCCTATCAGAAAGAGGAGTGTCTTTTTTAGAGCTGTGTTCAGCAAAACTTGATCACAGATGCCCATTTGGCAAGAGGTCTCAATACAAATGAGAGAAGAGGGCTAGAATATTACTGACTACTGTCTCTGAAATTTCCTTCCACCCTTTACCTGGAAAACTTGTCCTTACACTTCTTTTTTGCAGCCACCTGAGACCACTGTATCCTAGATACAGCTCCCTCTGTAGTGCCTTACTAGAGTCCTATAACCACCTTCTCAGAGACTTTACAACTTGTTTAGTTTTTTCCATGGCCTTGAATATGCCCCCACAGAGAACAGAATGAACATCCACAAAGGATACTGTCCAGCATATTAACTTTTGTTTGCTAGATTAATGCCTGACATCACTGAAGACACTGCTGTACGTTTTTACCAACCAGCAGATTATGTCCTTCCTAAGGATATTAAGTAAATATTCTGGTGCCAGCTTGAACTACTGTCTCGTAAAGGAAGGTACCAGACAGAGCAATCAAGGTTGCTTTTAGCATTTAGGACAACCACTTCTGTATTTTGCTGCACAGATATGCAATGCACCAACAGAATACTTTTGAGGCAATTTACTTCATGGCAAACCTGTAAAAAGATTGTGTATTCAAATATGAAAGGGTGCTCTGGATGGCCAAAGAATATAAAAAGTTTACTTGACCAACATTTCTATGCCATAGAGGAGTGGAACATAGAAATAAAGACAGGACAAAAAAAGTTTGCACGATTTTTCCAAAACTGTTGCAGAGAGAATCTTGGGACACCTGGCTTTACACTGTGAGCCACAAGACCATCAAGACCATCCTGTCAGGCTTGCCATGAATTTCCAGACCTTTGTAACTGCGGATTTGCAAGATCTTGGCAGAAATATCAGTCTAGTGTGTAGCAGCAAACAGGGCAGTTAGTTTTGACACAAAACTGTACGCTCTTTACTACAGTAAGCTAAATAGCAGCAAAAGGTATTCTGCAAGGTTGTGATCCATTTGACAATTTATTTTTAAAAGGCGGCTTAGATTTTTGCAACTAAATCATATTATTTTTCTGGTTTAAAATCTTTTGTATCTCACGGGAACAGACTGGAATTTCTGGTTTGGTTTTAGAAGCGTATCCCAGCATCATTAGAAGTGAGAATAAAGCCATTAGTTTGAAAACGTTTTGCAAAACAAAGTTAAATGTGTTCTTAAATTAACCGAAATGCTGGTCCTACAAGCCTTTCACTTCCAGGACTTTGGCCACTGATGTTAGTTCTCTTCTGACAGCCCCAAGAGCTGACCAGCAACATACACGACTGTGTATTAAGCAGGCAGAGCTGCAGAGGGCAGCAAAACACGGTGAGGAAGTTAGCATTAAATCATAAAGTTATCATCTTGTCACTATTGGCTGGTATATCAGCTTTAGCTTTTATGATTATTGTAAAAATTAGTCAGAAGACCATGCAATGCAAGCTGTTTGTCATTCAGACTTTATTACTTTCACTGTATCTTATGGAGACTGTGCATTTTATTCAGGTATCTGTGTGTACCTTGAGAAAAGACTATTTTTTTCTTTATTCTTAATCTCAAGGGACCTCTAAATTGATCAATAAATGTGCCCATTAAGGTCAGACAAGTTTTTAGAAATTGGCCAGCTCACAGTCTGAGAAAGTAGAAATATACAGAAAAGGAACTGAGCAAACCTTCAGACTAACATGACTCATCCATATTTTATAGTTATTTTCTGTAATCTGAATGTCTCATATAGTCACATTCTTTTGATCACTCCCTTTACTGAAGTTAGTAATGTAATTGTTAGTGTACTCATTAAAAAAAAAAAACCACAAAACAACTTACGCAGACACTATCTCATTCTAATTCAAAATGTTTACAGCTAAAACATAACCTACCATGCTTATGGATAAATGCAAGCCCTTGCAGGATCTGATACATAATATTCCTAACTGTAGACTCAGGAAACAGTTTGTTTCTGTGGGATGAAAGAGAAGAAATAAATATTAATGATTAAGTTTGCATATTGGCTTATGCTATCTAACGAACCTAAGATAAAAGGTAACAATGACAATAAAACTGCTAGATATATTTTAAGCACCCTCATATAAACAGTTTACTGTGTAAATGTTATTGGAAAAGTATTTGCAGAACTGCCATATTACATTACATTGAGACTATGTGACATCATGGTAAGACTATGTGGGACAGTGAATTAAAAAAGGGAAAAAAAGAAAATTGGCCAAACTGAACAGACCTTAACACATATACATCAGACATGCTCCTCAAGACAGCAAGGGTTCATGTTGATTTAGTGCTCTTCACACAGTTTCTTCTGGCCTTTCTTCTAAAGCATATAGAAGCCATATCTTTACCTTGTTATTATCTAACAGCTGATGTGCTACTTATTTCTATTCTGTTATCTGAAAAATCAGTCTCATCTGCTACCACTGAAGACAAGAGGTTCTCTTTCTCATAAGAAGATAAGCCATGGCAGGCAGTTTGAGGACAGTCTCTCTCACCATGAGAGGATTCTGATCAACCAGCTCTGTACCAGCTGCCTTTGTGCATGCCCAAACACAGCAGAGATGGGTTGGGGTGAAAATCAGTGACAATTTTACTTAGAAAGAGGCTAACAGTGAATGAAGAAGACGGCCTGGGCTTTATTCAATTTCCTCAGCTTGATTCCTTTCAAAAAACCTGACCATCACATATTTCCGAAGTGAGATCAGCTACTAGAGTCAGCTTTTCATATTTGCTTGCTTATTTTTTAAATTACAGCTGAAAGAGAGTCATATTTCCACTGCAGTCTCTTCCAGCAAGACTGGCAATTTTAACTAAGACTTAAATCACATTTTTAAAGGTTTGATTTATACAATGTCTAACCAGTCCAAGGCCTAGCTAAACTGGAGAGAATATGATGTGTAGCACACTTTTAAGGACATCTGCCCTTTTTGTTTTCATAAGGAGGTAGGATATATCAAGCATTTCTAAGAAATCCCTAAAGATAACTGGTTTGTATGTTATACGCTTGAATGATTTTCTCAAGGTTCATAATTTCATATAATTAAAAATCAGCATCCGTATATATGTGCACAATTTAGCTGAAGTGGTTCTGTACCTAAACACGCATAATAAATACTTTTGTGCTTAAAAAAGATATACTGTAACAATAACCTTACTTTGTTAAATCAAGTAAGACTACTGTCATCCCAGGCTGACTCTATGGTTCAGAGAGAGAAAACAGCCTTCCCAGAGAACAACTCAGAACAAGGAGCTATTTTGCCCCAAATTATGCTCTGGAGGATGCTATCATGGTCCAAAAGCTAGATTTCATTGAAATTGCTGACAAATGAAATATACAGTCTCTGGACATGTTAGTTCAAATTGGAAGGAAAAAAAAATTCCTAGAACCAATCCAAAATTTGACCCCTCATGTTTACATTTTCAACCACTTTTTATACAGTCGTTTATTTGAGGAAACCATAAGAGAGGAGGTGGTGATACCATCCTCTAACAGAAAATCCATTGCTGGTTGGAGTAATTACCTAGAAACAAAAGTTCTAGGTTCCATGCCTCCTCAGCACGAGGGCTGTTAGAAGCCCACAGTTCCTAACTCCCAAAAGACTGCTGGATTTGTGTGCCAGGCTGATCTGGGAAGAGACACTGGAAACTCTCACTAAACCATTTGGCATATGCTCTAAGGTGACAGCCACAGCTCCTGCTGCAGCACACAGCTTTAAGCCATAGTGATCTAAGCCTAAACAAATGATCCAAAGTCCTCTGAAAAGCAACATGGGTGCTGAAAGTACATTACACAAGCAATAATTTATAACAGGAAGGGGTGACGTTGTCACATACCTTTCTTTCATTAACTGATAAAGATTTTCCTTCATGTATTCAAACACAAAATAAAGATGATCATTTTCTCTGATAACTTCTTTCAGCTTTACCACATTGGCATGGTTTAATTTCTTCAAAGACTAGAAACAGAAAATACACAAATGGGATTTTACAAGGGTCTTACTGTAATGATAAAGCAATAACTATCTTACTGATACAGAAGACGTGGCTTCAAAAATTCTGCACTATTTTAAATAATCAGACAGCTCTGAGAACTAAGACCAGATCTCCAAATATTCCCAGATATGTATACAGCATACATGTCAATTAATGCAGTGGTCACTTAAAAGCCTGATCTGGTATCACGGTAGGCACCAAAACAATTGCATTTTCTCTATAAGTAACTTCCTACTGGCAGAATTCACACTCTTCCTGTACTCGCACTGACAACAGCCAGGTTAGACTCAGGACTAGATATAACCCTGGAAATTCTTCCTTGGTCTTGTGGATTAACCTGGTGGGGAGCTGAGCTCGCTCATCTGCCCTCGGTGGGGTGGGGAAAGGCTCAGAAGGGCAGGAAGGGAGAAAACTCACGGGTTGAGACAGCTCAATAGGCAGAGCAAGAGCTGTATGTGCAAGCAAAGCAAAATAAGGAATTCATTCCCTGCTTCCCAGTGGCAGGCAGGTGTCCTGCCACCTCCAGGAAAGCATCACACCAAGACAAATACCATCCCTCCAAACATTCCCCAGCTTTTACCGCTGAGCACAATGTCATACAGAACACCTCTCTGGTCAGCTGGGGTGAACTGTCCTGGCTGTGTCCCCTCCCCACCTCTTGCTCACCATCAGCCTATTTGCTTGGTGGGGAAGCATGAGAAACAGAGAAGGCTGGATGTTGTGCAAGCTCTGCTCACCAGTAATTAAAACATCCCCATGTTAATCAACATTTTGGTCACAAATCCAAAACATACAAGCTACTATAAAGAAAGTTAATTCTATCGTAGCCAAAACCAGCATACTTGGGTCTTCACTCTCCCTTCCTTTTAGATTTTTAGTGTATTCTACAATCACTCTTGTTACCAGTATTTAGTACTGTAAGAAAGTGACCTAGGTTGTCTGCATGTTCGCAAAAGTGATAGCAAGGACTAGAAATCAAGGGAGGTCCTTAGAACATACCCCCAAAGCTTTGCTGGTGTTAGAACTGTCCCCAAACCAACTATCCAGAAAAAAATGCATGTACAAAGGTTTTTGCCAAGCAAAGGGCATGTGTTCTCAAGCTCTGAAAAACAAACACCAATCAGCTCCAGGTTCTGTGACAGGAAAGCTCTCTCACTCAGCAGAAGCGCAAGAAGGAAGCAGCTCTCTACAATCATATGATTTTTTGTAAGATTACAGAGTTTTCATAAGAATTTTTATAAGACTAAAGACAATCCATTAAAATGCAGAGCCAGGAAAGAATTTGATGTTACCCGAAAATGTGATAGGATTGTCTAATTTGAAGTCAACTACTGAATGAAACAAGTACCTTAACCTCTCGAAGGTTCATGCATTCCTCCCAGGAATAAAACTTTCTCTTCATTCTACAATAAGTAGAGGAGAAAAAATAATTAATACACGGTCCACATCAGCTGGTCTTAGACCTGTAACTCTCCTTACATCTTAACAATTCAGTTTTTCCATCAAAATATAAGGTGCTACCTGCTTTGGCAAAACATTTTGCATCTCTAGACAAGGTCCACTCTAATAGAATTTAAAAGCATTACTATTGCACAGGGTTGCCTTTTTTCGTGTATCTACATTGCTGCAAAAATTTCAGAGCCTTCAACAAGTCAGAGCATGCTATTTTTCTTTCCAGTATATAATGTGGTGGAGACTAACTGTAACAGTTATGAACAACTCAGACTAAGTTTTGAATCAAACCTAACAAAGACCAAATTAAATCACTTAACTGGGTCCCAAAATCTATCATATTCTTCTTGCTCCTCTTCTCTATATTTTGATTTCTCTGTAATTTCAATACCTTTCCCCTCTAAGTTGTATTTCTTCATTTTTCAGTGTCCACTGTGCCCTGTGTTTCTCTCTCCCGCGTGAGTTGCATCTACTGTGCCAAAGGCTTTTCGAATTCTGCCTTTCCTTTCAATGCTTATAAGCAACTCGGCTCCAACAGGAACAGATCTGTGGGGCAGATCTATTTTCTCCTAAGCCAGGATATAAAACTCTGAGCATATTATTTCTTTATAACGTATGATCCTATTTGTTCATATGCATTTTGAATATGACTCAGTTCTTTCACACACAACTCCATGCTTCAGGACCAACAGGATGAAGGCTCTCATGTTCACACACACACAGAAGAGCACAGATTAAATTTACAAAATTACCCAGCTGCTTGGAGGTCTGGATTTCAGAGGGAGTTAGACACCCTTTGAAGATCTGGGTCTTTGTCAGACTTAAATACCAATTCAGTATTACCCTTCCAGTTTGAAATCAGCTCTTAGAATAGCTTAAGAACTACAAGCCCTTTATTATGTGAAGGGGTCTGAATTATTTTTGGTTTTGTTAGTAGTGTTTTCGCAGTTATTGCCTTGCATGTTCCACCACTAGACCATTTCTGTTCTTGATAATGGATTGGCATTAATCTGTAAGCTAAGAAAGTAACATCTTCTGGCTTGTTCTGTAATTTTTGAGTTTGTACTATGTTGCAAAATGAAAATCAAAGGTGTCTCTGGCAAGGTTTGATACAGAAAAAACACCCTGAGCACAGAAGATCTAGAAAGTTGCTAAAGGCAGCTATTGACTGTTCATACAAAACAGCATTGTACTGAAAGCTCTTTTGACAAGTATGTCCCTGGGTCATGGTCGGTATTTCAGGAAGGTGCCTGCAATGCTTTACAGCTGACTCTTACCACAACTAGGACAAATAAGCCATTTACAAACCGAGGTCACTGCTGAAGCAGCAGAGAAAAAAATGCAGTGGATTTCTCAAGGAATTTTAAGAAAATTTTAAGCTGAAAGGACCAATATGTAACAGCATATAAAGATTAGATAATGGACAGTGAGATCCATTGTGTTAATTATCACTGCAATACTAATGTTTCACTGGAAATTAGACCACGAAATGCATGTTCTGTGTCAGCAGCAGAGAAGGGAGTGCAGATTCCAAAGCCGTATTGCGGAATAATATACATCATACGTGTCTGACTGCACATAGTAGCAGAGCACTGTTACAATAAGCCTATATATCTCACCCTCTATCTTCTGCTGGAGCTTTGGAGGATACAGGGAACAGGAGCTTTGCATGCTGCCCCAGTACAACCCCAAATACAAACGTTGCATGGAATGCGAAATACTCAAACCAACATGGCCAAGGGATGGGGACCATAGAACAGAAACACCTGGACCACCCACTGTTAAATAACAAATGAAAATACTCACTTTTTAATGGCTATTAGCTCTCCAGATTCAATGCTTCTCCCTAGGAGGACAGAGCCATAGGTGCCATCACCAAGCTGTCTGATAGTTGTGTACCTATTCATGATGAGGATACTTTAGCTGCAAGCGCATTTCAGTCCTTAGTGTTTCTTGTGTTTCTTCTCCGAGTGTAACCAGTTCTTTCTGTGGCAGCATAAATACAGAGCACTCAGGACAGTGTCAACAGTTGCAGGAATCATGTTTTCAAGACTTAGCCTGTGGTCTGAAAGCACAGAACACAATCCGTTTGATTTCTGTCCCCTTCCAAGAATGCTTCTTTGCAGAATCTATGCTCCTCCAAGAGATATTCCCTGTAAGCTACACACAAACACTTGTCTTTGTCTCTCAGCAGAAAGGGCCAGTCTGTATCTGGGTGTAACTGGGTACATTCCCCAAATCCACTCTTACGCTAAAGCACTTCACCGCAAGCTTGCGGGCAGCCCTAATGGGAGAAACTATTACTAAAGCAGAGGATAAAGTCTCATAGCTTGGGGAAAACAGCTTGCTATCAGAAAATTATAAGAATTATAAGAAAACAGGCGGGAATCTGTTCCAGACAAGTTATCAGACACGTAAGTCACCATCTCATAAGTCGTACTGTCATCAAACCAACCAATTTTCTGACTTTCCATAAGGCCCTATGCTAGAGACACAGCCATACATATTCCCTTAAACAAAGTCTTCAGAAAAAGAGTATTATATTCATGCCAGACAAGACCAAATGTATTTTGCTACAGTAGCCCTAAGCATGAATTAGTGTCTAGAAGTACACGTTATCTAGCCAACATTTTGTCCTGACACTGCACAAACAACTACACGTTATCTAGCCAACATTTTGTCCTGACGCTGCACAAAACAGAATGCTAGATAATAAAGAAATAAAGTTCTTATTTCCTCATTTAAACTAATTGTTGCTAGTATTTCCTACACTTTGTCTAGGACAATGCGATCTATTCTATGTGAATTAACCATACATTTGGAATAAAACAGAATTCCCCTGCCATGAGGGTCTGGTCTGCATTCTGGTTTTCTCCAACCCCAAGAGCACAGCAGTATTTGTGGCTGGTGACTACTGCCATCTGTAACCTGCATTCAAACTACATTTCCACTTTTTTTTTTTGTAGCAGCCTTATGCCTCCTCCATCTTGCTTTATTTCACAAAGCCAAATTATGATTATAAAAGTAACGGGATTATGTTGCTTGAACTCTGAACTGACATCAATGCAGAGCCACAACCCTGCAGATGCAAGTTGTTGTGAAGATCCTTTGTTTTCCATCTGCTAAGCCTATTAGTCACACCAATACTGACTCAGGAAAAAACAAAAATAAACAGGAAATATGATGTTAATATACCTTTTGACAACTTTACACATCATGTATGAAAAAGAAACAGCATGTCTCTACCACCACCTTAGCCACTGGGTAGTATCTCAGAGAGGCAGGAGGAATTGCCCTTTAGCAGTCCCCATTTCTCCCCACACCCTACTGCAGAGAATCACAACTGAGCACCTTTAATTAGACACCTAATCCCACATTTGGTACAATTTGCCAAGGAACACAGAGCCTGCCCGTAGGAACAGCATTTCGGAGCACCAGTTTCTTTTTGGCTGGTTTTCAGGCTGTGCACCTGCATAACATAAAGATATGTTTAGGCAATGTCCTGCATCTAGGTTAAAAAGCTTTAGTTACTCCAGCTGGTCAATGACTGGGTGAATTAGAAGCCTTAGCTCCCAGGCCTTTATTCAGACCCTTGGCGAAAATTTCAAACGATGACAAAGCCTTGCGTGGTCTCCTAGGCTGAAAATGTAATGTTTATCAGTATCCAAACAAATAATTCTATATAGTAACTTCAAACCGAAACAGATGGGACTTGTGGATTTTTCAGCACTTATTCCTCTAATGACAGAGTTCTGAAACTGCCATCGTAACAGATGTGATGGCTTACAATCCACAGACCATTATGCTGCCCCTGGCTTACCACCCATGTGTCCCTTTCCACCCACATGTCCCTTTCCAGTCCCTGTGACCACAGAGTGGAGGGGCGTCTTTGCCTCATGCTTGATAACCACAACAAATCAAGAGATGCCTAACACTGCTAGCACCATAACACTGCTAATGAGAATAACTTGTAATCTTTGCGAGTCCAGCTCTGCCCTCAAATGTGACCAAAACAGACAAATTAACTTAAATACTTCCGAGGCATAAAGCAGAAGCAAAGAACCTACAGAGGAAAAACAGAGTCAGGAATTACAGATTTCAGTGAGGAATGCACGTTAAAAAACATGCCAGGATGCACAGAAGTTAATAAGGCTCCTATGGAAGCACAAACACACCTGTATGAAAATCCACTGAACAAAACCTAAGTAAAGCCTTCTTTGGTTAAATTAAATCTGTACAATTTCTTGCTGAGCTTAATCGCAAAAGATGCTTTTAAAAAGCTATTTCATTTTGCAAGATTTATGTTCTGTCCTTATCCCCTTCTGCTATTTCTCATCTTCAACAACGGGACAACGTTTAGTTTATCTAAACCTGGCCTGGCCTGAGGACTGTTTCACCTAAGTGGAGTCCCACTGAAATCACTGAAAAGAGCACATGAGTCTCCGAGATGGGGTTTGCAGGGCTGCAAGACGTATAAACTAGTCAAGAGTATAGTCTGGAATGACAACCTGGGTTAGAGGATGTAAATACAAACCACAAAAAAGCCTTGGAGTAAATGAGCATGTTGACACTAAATAGAAAAAAAATGTAAGAGCCTTATTTTCACCGTACTGTAGCACCGCGTTGGACTCCACCACACTTACACACATTTTTTTTCTCCCCACAGAAAGCAGACGGCAAACCCCCCCTTTAATAGCGAGCCCCACTTAAGGTACCAAGAGGGCTTTCTGACTCCCAAGGATAACTCGCAGCTTCCCAGGGTGCTGATGTACGGCTGGAACCGGCGTCCCCTCCCGTTCCAAGGGCTGCAGCCCCGAGAACCGAAAGCGAAACCCGAAAGTCGCCCAGCGCCCCTTGAACCGGGGCCCGGCAGCACCCCCGGGGCTGCTCCCGGCGGGATGCGCGGAGAAAAGGCGGGGTTTAAACCCGCCGCTTTCAACCGACGTCGTCCCGGCTGGTTTATGTTCCTCAGGGAAGGCTCTCGGGGTGCCCCGACAGCCGGGGAGGCGGCAGGAGTAGGGGGGGGAGATGGCGGGGAGGCGACCCACGGGCCTGTCCGCCGCGACCGGCCGGCTGCCGCCCAGCGCCTTCCCAGCCCGCCCCGGTCAGCCCTGCGCCCAAAGCGCTGCTCTCCCCTTCCCCCGCGGCCATGGCGGTGCTACTCACGGCCTGCGGCTCTCCCTTCCTCCGGCCGAGCCCCGGCCCGCCGCCGCGCCACGGGCCCCTAATGGCGGCGCTGGG